GTGAATGTGTACTTCATGCATGAATATAACAAGAAAAGATCTGAAATGGCATGACCTACACGCATTCAACAAGAATTCTTCCGAAACTGCCCTGCTCCTAGGCAAATTAGTTAGCTGGCAGACCTATTTAATTGGCTAGCCGACATTATTCACAAGCATTATTATTCTTAGGGAAAATAGGGTTTTTCAACAGAATTATTGGAACTACGCATAAAATGAATATTTTAAAAGAGAGTTTTGAACAGGTCTAAAAAACTTGGCCAAAACAAACTTAGGATTAAGAATGAAGTACAAATTCTATCTTTCTTACTGAGAATTATGTGAGAAATACATTCTAATTGTCATCATTGAGTAATCAAAAGAAAGCGCCCAAGTCTTAGGGCCGGTCAAAATGGGGTGTCTACTATAGGTTGAAACATATAGATTGATGCACTTAAGAGATCGGATATGTGAAGAGGCGTGTAACAACAAGAAAAGCTACTTTACTTATTAAACTTGTGAATGGATGGCTAATAGCTACTCCCAATCACATCCACAATGGTCTAAAATACATAAGAACTAGAAGTTAGAGTCAAGGAAAGCAAGAACATAAAGGAAAAACTATCAACTCAATGGATGGGTGGCTAAATCTACCCCCTCCACATCCATGAGGACTTGTTACATCTGTACAACAATTACATAATGAAAACAAAGCTTAAAGATGAAGAACAAGAGAGAAAATATGAGAAAATGTTCAAAAGTTTCACCTCTTGAAAGAGGGTGAACTTCTTATTTGTCAAACTCTTTCTTGGCACCCTCAAAGTCCTTTAGATATAGCTTAGAGTTCTTAGGATTCTTAGCAAGAAGCTTGGAGTCAAGTTTTAATGGAGTTTTGATGTTTGGTGTATGAGAAATGGAGGTTGAAGAAGAAGTATAGGAGATGGGCTCTCAAACAAGTCTCTTAGCTTTTAGAAATATTTTGTAACCTTTTAAAAATATTTCTCAACCTTAATTTTAGATTTAATGGAGTTTTGGGTGGTGTATTAGTAAAGAAGCATGAAGAAAATAGAGAAAATTGTTGAAGATGAGGTATGGGTGTAAACAAGAATTTTCTAACCTTTTTAAAATGAAGAAGAAGAGGTGTATTTATAGACTTTTGAGGGAAATAAAATATCTAAATATTTTTAGAGGAAGCTTAGAGTCAAAATATCTACGATATTTGTGTAAATTTCGGAGAAAATGCCAAATTTCTCAAAACTGGTCTATTTTCCAGACAAATCATCTGGCCAGACAAAAAATCGTTTGGCCAAACAATTCTCATTCCTTCCACTCATTTCCACTTTGATCTTGCTCAATTTAATAAGAAAATATAACACTTGAAGCCTTGGAACTTTGTAGAAATGTTTGAAAATGGGTTTAAAATGGTCTAAAATATTTTGGCTAAAACGAATGTAAGGTTAGGATTAAAGCTTGAACTTGGCTCTCCTGTTGAGAAATTCGTAAGATAGCATATTCCAATTTTCATCCTCAGGTGCTCAGAAAAGAGCACCCAAGTCTTAAGGTCGATCAAAATGAGGTGTCTATAAACGCTCCTACCATTTTATGGGCTGAAGCGCCCATGGCTTGCTGATCTACTTGCTCAGCGACGTTGGCCTGACTAACTCCGTCCCCATGTGCCGAAATTTCATCCAGTATTGGCACCTCCTGACACCTAGGCCAGCCACGCCTATCACTACCACAACCACATCCTGACATTCTAATAAAGTTAACACAATAATTTAGCACATTTATAAATATACCGAAGCTAATTCACTCACTTCCTAATACAGCAGACAACAAATAGTTCATTTCGCATAAGCACCAAGTCACATGGTCACAAATGAATTTCGTTTCTAGATAATAATAATCATTCCGTGACATTGCCAAAGTTCTAGTTAGAATTAGCAGTGATCAAGTGCTCTTCTGATAGGACTTCTAAAAACTCGGAGACCCAATCAATATCTTAGAAACCAAATCTCACACTCATCTAGTCACATGAAAATGTTATCACATGGCATACTAGGTCTACTTCTAATATTATCTAGCAAGATAAACCCATTGTGAAAAAAAAAAAAAAAACAACCACATCCCATGATCCCAAAGTATTCAAACCCAGTAGCTTTGATATCAAGTTGTAACGCTCCAAAATAATAATAACAACCCATCTCATGATATTCAATAGAAAAGCATAAACTTACATAATATTAACTTTTCATTGATTCTCTTTTACCGTATAAAAGATGACATATGTTTGTATACATTTATAAATCCTAGATCCTAAATGTATAGTATATGACATGTATGAATGAATTGGAACAAAAGAAATTACAAATGAGTTAATACCTTATTGGCTACATCTTTCCAAGTTTATGCTTGGCAACAACAAAATGAGTCAAAATCCATACATATAAAGCACCAGACTTGTACAACAAGTATTTACGTAAATGAACAAAAGAGAGCTCTCAGTTCCAAAGTCTTCCCAATATACATGCCATTTACCAAAACATTATACATTCTCTTTCAAAACAATGCAATGCTTTAGTTATATGTATGTCAATTCATAAAATAATACTTTTGAAATCAAAAAAATAAGGCAATGGATACAAAACACTGAGAATCTCTAGGTACGTGTCTGCCAGTAGGCTATACAAACACTACTCAAGCCATTTTACTGATATTAACCAGAAGGATTGACACCTAACTGCGTGGATTTCTGGACTTTCACCAAGGATACACAGGCTAACAATATAAAACCACAACCACACCCTCTAACTAGATTATTCACCCATTTTTCTTAAAAACAATACACTTTCAATGTAATGATATGAAACCATATTCGATGCAAAATGTATGAGTAAATGGTTTCCATTTTAACCTGTTCCTCATGAAATTACTACAACAATTAAAACTATGCTCCACTGATAGCCCAAAATAGATATCCTTCAACAACAATTATAATTTTCAAAACCTCAAAATGGGAGTGATAATATATATCCAACTCCACTGTCACGTCCTAAATTTACCAAGTCTGGCCCACGTGAATAAACCCATAACCGATAATTAAAGGCGACAATAAGATAGAATGAAATAACATCTCTCATACAAATGAATATAATAAAGTCACACAGTACATTTGTTTATCCGATTTCATATACCCTATATTTGGCAACTAAGTGGAATGAATGATCTTTTAATTAAAACATATACAGAACGTTATATGCCAGATTGAAATTCCCAAAAGGCTTACATCATAAATAAGGGTGAAACCCTTACAAGAATGGCACATGACCTCGTAAATAAAACAAATGGCCCAAGGCTTACAAATAATGGAACCACCATACTCAGCTCTAATCACAACTCTAATGTTTGTACACGCAACACACCAGAAAAGCATTTTCAGCCACGTAGGATGAGCTTAAAGCCCAATAGAGAATATTTCAGAAACTAAACATGCTCCACTAGCATAAATGGATCATGATGCAATACATATATACAATATGCCCAAATGCATTTTCAAAACTCATCTAATATCTCAACAAAATCCTTTTTTTCCAATCATCAAAATCTTTCATTTAATCAAAATGTTTTCCAAGATCGAAACATCTGTTTAATGAAACCTATTTCCAAAACCAATCTGTATATCACAATACCAACTAGAAAATACATTGCTAAACCAAAGGCGAATACATCGCTAAACAACAACAAATACATTACTAAACGGTTTGAAAATATCATTTTTAAAACCAAAATTGTAACAAATAAAATGGATAAACCTCAAAGGCTAGTGTTCATAATAATAACTATACAAGTCACTATGCCATTTTACCAGGATTATCTCGATGGAATCGGCACCTACCACGCGGGTTTCCGATCTTACACCAAGGACACATAGGCCAACTTAATTCTACTTTAACACCTCTTACAACTTTACCACTTTATTTACCCTTTTCAATAGCACAATATGTGTTCCAAAATAACAGTTTTTCAGCAATACGATATGTTTTCAAAACGTAATATGAAAATTATCAAAACAACTTTTCCAAAACTTAGAATTTTGAGTTCCAAATCCATGACATGCATCATGATATGTATGATTTCAGAACTATTCCAATTCACCTAGTCTACATGCAATTTCTAACACATGACAATGGTATTCTCCACCGATAGCCAAAACAGTTATCTCTAATATAATAATTAAAAAATAACAATACAGATATATATATATATATATGATCTAACAATCTCAAAATCACATAACCAAGACTCGTGTGGTTTTTCCAACAAATCCAAGATTTTCAAAAGAGTATTCAATAATCGATATTTTAAAATCCCACAATCATTTTCTTTTCAACTAAATCCTTTTCCAAAAATCCAACCAACTTCCAAAAACAATATCTTTTAGAGTTTTTCACAAATCAGGGCTTTTTTAATTTTAGAAATCCATATACACTTTTATATATAGAAAATAGATTTAGTAGCAAAATTATAACTCAACAACCCCATTTGGAACAAACCCTCAACTCACAAAACAAATTTCCAAAATCAACCCAACAACAACAAAATCTACAAATCAAAATATACCACAAATACACTACCAAACTCACTTCGAGTTTAAGAAATAGACCATAACTCTTGAAGGGAAAAGGAGACAGGCCGGAAAAATCACCAGCGACGAAAAGAGGATCCGCTCAAATCAAATGGAAGCACTTGCCAACCTCTACATTTTGGTATATGGAACTAAGGGTCGCAAGTGGATAGAAATAGATGAAACCCAAGCTTGAAAAACTTTGTGGGTCAAAAATAGCGAAAGGGAGAGAGATGAGAGAGAAAAGATCCAAAAAAGTGAGGTTTTCACTGCGGCCGCGGGCCTATAGTCAAACAGATCACGGGAGTGACCATGCCCCTCGTGGGCTCGAGTAAGCCATCCGTAGCCTACATTGTGGCCCCCATTGCGGGCAACACACTCCCTCCAACCAACAGACCTGAGAACCTTTAGGCTACGACCTCCCCTTAGCCTCATTGCGGTGCGACCGCTCAAGAACAAAATTTCTGGGCTACTGCCTAGCAGCCAACCCGAAGCACGACAAAGGTCAAATCTATCTAGAAATGTCCTTGTCACTTAGGACAACCTCGTGTTCTAACCAAAAATGAAAATGGGTCAGGTTAAATTGACCTAGGCCACTGCAATCTTCCACACTTAGGAAATTTTGTTCCCGAATTGAAGAAAGAACAAAAAACAAAAAGGCTACCAACCTATAAAAGAAAATACCACACCAACCCAAGCTTAGATCTATGCCGAGATACGTTCCCAGATCCCGTTATAACATTTAGGCCCTAAAGACCTCCGAACAATAAGAACACTAAGAAGAGACAAATGTCTCGTTGACCCCAACACCCATTGGGATCTATGAGACAAGAAACAACCACTGTGACAACAATAAGAAAACCATCATCAATACCCAATCACCACCGAGTGCTCAACACTCGGACACAAAAATAAGAAAACCACTTGCACACAAGGCTCTTGGTCTACTCTCGTAAAATGAGAATGCAAAATAAAACATGGTTAAACAAACAATGTTACAACATATTAACTCCCGACAATTCTAAACCCCTTCCAAAATAAACATATAACATGTAACTAGCAACTCAGGCTAGATCACAATATAACTCCACAATAAAAGACAAAATACAACCCATTCAAGTTTAAGAGAATTTCTTTTTTCTCCATTTTCCTTAAAACACTTTTCTTTCTCAAAAGGTGCCTAACTTCGCACCACCCATAACAAAAATACATTTTCGACGTTCCATAACAAAACTTAAAGATTTCAAAAATCGTTTTCTGAAAACCATAGTGTTATTCATAACACAAAACTCCCCTTATTTTCAAGATTTGTTAGATTGAGCTTTTTATTAAACCGAAAACTTCTACTTTTGATTAAAGCTAAAACAGTTTCAATTTATTAATGCCACCCCCGGCCACCACATAAAGAAATTCATTTTCCCAAATCATTTGCTGAACATCTCTCCAGTTAACATCAACAGTCACCCAACAACACCCATCACACCAACGATGATGCCACAACCTAATACAAATTTCTACAATAACAAACCACAGACACTACCAAGGTGCTAACAACACATCAAAGCACCAAGAGATGCCACAATTACCATTCACAGAATAGCACAAACATGCTCACAAAACAAGGTTTTAACCTGTAACCCAATCCGGCTACCACAAGCTCACATCCATCTCACCTTTAATTACACGAGGTTCAACGCTTTCCACCCATATGCTCAACTTTCAACTATTCCCGAGCTGACTATATGTCAACTAACTCCGAGACTGATCAACCAACTCACTAACCAACCCAAGAACCTTACACTTGATGCCTGACACCCACATGACACCCAACTCCACCTACTCCGAGATGGAGTTCCACACACACACACACTCACATATTTGTTAAATCACACCTGATTCCTCAAAGTTAACCCCTACTACATTCAACCTCAACTAACCCACCACACACATGCCTATATGGCAAACACATCCTCAAGTTAACTCACACACTATCTGGTGGCCTCAAACGCTTTACATCACACACACAAAGACCGATAAGGTCAATAACAAACTTACACATCACACCACCCTCACCATACCACCTTACTATCTCACTCTTACCACTCACAAACCAAAAACGCAGCAGAAATCATCTCAACATTAGGGATCTCATACCAAGTTAACAAGTAATCAACACACTCACAACAAAAGTAACTCAGCTCTATCATACATTAGACCACTCAACAATACATTAAACATAACATTGCCACACTGAGACAATCTCCTGGGATAGTCCCACACCTAACAACACACAAACCACACACAGTTACACTCCACACAAATTTCTACTATTAGCCCCAAATGGGTTATTCCAACATTGAATTCAGTACCCCAACATTCACACAATCCTCACGAGTTCACACAATCCTTACGGGTTCACACAACCAAGTATCTACAAATACTCCCTCCAAAACATACCTATAATGAAAAGAGTATTTAATCTCCTTCACCACCTGAGTTATACGTTTGAGAACCAAGCTCTGATACCAATTGATAGAAAATTTTACGAAACATAAACTAAAAACCATTAAGGATTCAATTCTATACATGAAAATTATATGAATTTCTACTATACAAAATAAGTGTATACATACCTTGATCTATGATAGTATGAAAACCACTTTTGAAAAAGAGAAACCTGGAATAGATGACCTTGATCTTCAAGTTCTTTATTTGTCTAAGATCTTCAAACCACTTTACACTCTCTTGGCGATGGGAGGCTTCTTGTGGTGACAACTTGAGTTTTGTGATAGAGAGTGTGGTTTGGGACTTTACACTATTTATACTAGTATTCTTCTCATCAAAGAATCCATTCATTCAATGAACTTCATTAAATAGATTAATGTATCTTTTACATTCATAATACATAATGCATTTTCTATATTAATGAACTCATTAGATAAATTAATGTATATTCTATATTCATAATAGATACATAATGCATCTCTAAGATTCATTCATAATGAATCTATCACATTCAATGCATTGACACTATCTCCATTAGTCTTCTAAACATTATGTATATATAGGTGCATTCATCAATGATTAATCACTATCTAATTGATGTACATGTATCTTGCTTAATGAGATGAATCTAGTATAATCATGTATAAGCCACATTAAGACATATTTAGGAAAAAAATTTACAACCTTAAGCATCAATGTATGAAGTCTCCTATTAAAGAAGTGGACAAAAAACAAAAAATGCTCTCTTTTGTTAAAAAAGAAAGAGGGGAGAAGAAACATGATGGTCGAAGGATTGGATCTCTGAAAGCAGTAGGATATGATGAAAAACTTTGTAGGGAAGCACTAACAAAGATGATTATAATTGATGAATTACTCTTTAGGCATGTGGAGAAGGAAAGGTTTAGAAATTTTTGTTTAGTTATGGAACCTAAGTTTCATGTCCCTTCTCGCACTACTGTTGCTCGTGATTGTTTGAACTTATTTATTGATGAAAAGCAAAAATTGAAGAAAGTTCTAAAGAAGCAACGAGTATGCTTAACCACTGACACTTGGACATCAATTCAAAATCTAAATTATATGTGTCACCGGCCATTGGATTGATAATGATTGGAATTTGCACAAAAAAAATTCTTAGTTTTTGTATAGCTCCTAATCATGAGGGTGAGACAATTGGCAAACAATTAGATAAATGCTTGCAAGACTGGGGGATTGATAAGATTTCACTATTATGGTTGATAATGCAAGCTCTAAAGATGGTGCTATTACATTTTTGAAGAGAAGAACCAAAGATTCCATTATCTTGGCAAATGAGTTTTTGCATATGAGATGTTGTGCACACATAGTGAATTTAATTGTTTGTGATGGTTTAAATGAACAAAATCACTCAATTGCCAAGATTCGAAAAGTTGTGAAACATGTAAAGTCATCTCCAACTAGGCTACAAACTTTTAAAAATTGTGTGGAGCATAAAAAGATTACTTGTAAAAGTTTGCTATGCCTTGATGTTCCAACAAGGTGGAATTCCACCTATTTGATATTGGAGGCAGCTGAGAAATTCCAAAAAGCTTTTGAGTGTTTAGAAGAGGAAGACCCGTGATTCAAGTTATTTTTCATGGAGAATGATGATGAAAATGAGAATGCAAATGAGAATAATGATGGAAGTGGCAAAGGGAAAGAAAAACGATTCATTTCATATCCTAAAGAAGAAGATTGAGAGGTAGCTAGAGTCTTTGTGAAATTTTTAAGATTTTTATCATGTGACTTTGCAACTTTCATGATTTTTGCATGTGACATCTAATATTTTTTTTTTCATCAACTTGTATCAGTGCAATGTAAATTAGTTCAATTGAGTAAAAGTGGAGATGCAGTGTTGAGTAACATGGCTGATAAGATGAAATTGAAATATGACAAATATTGGGAGAATCTTGATAATATCAATTTCTTGTTATATGTTGCCGTTAAGTTAGACCCTCACTACAAGTTGACATATCTTAAGTTTTCATTCAATAAAGTGTATGAAAATGACAAGGTAGAAATTTTAGTGGCGAGGGTGAAGGCAACATTGGAGTGCTTGTTTGATCATTATGTTGAAAAGAACAATGTTTGTAATGTTGCACCTTCATTTTCAAGTAAAGCTCCTCAAGTGATGGAAATTGATGAAGAGGAAGAGAAAGATCCCATGACACTCTTTGCCTCTCAATATATTAACCTTTTGGAGTCTGAAAAAAGTGTGGAGAACAAGTTAGAGTTGGAAAAATATTTGGTTGATGATTGTGTAGACCCAAGAGTTCCAAACTTTGATATTTTGAATTGGTGGAAGGTTAATGGCAAAAAGTATAAGGTTCTCTCTCTAATAGCAAGAGATGTGTTGGCTATCCTAGTTTCTACAGTGGCCTTTGAGTCAGCTTTTAGTACTAGTGGACGTGTGCTTGATCCATTTAGGAGTTCTTTGAAGCCGAAGATGGTGGAGGCTCTAATTTGTGCACAAAATTGGTTACGGTCTTCATCAATTCCAATCAATCATAGAGAATGTATGGATGATGTTGAACAATATAAAGAAATTGAGTCAGGTAACTTTTTTGATTTGTGTTTATTTTAAATTAATTATTCAATATTGATTTTTTATTTTTCAAAATTTTTTGCATTTTCTACTACACAAGAAGCAACTATTGTTGAGTACTAATTTGTCTCCAAGTTAGTTTGCTTTTAAAGTTCTTGAGGTTAGACTTAATTCTTACTCTTGAATATTATTTTGTTGTATTGGTCATTTTTTTATTTTTATTTATTTATTATTATTATTTTGTAATGATTTTGATGATAGTTTTTTATTATTTATTTATGTTTTCTTTGCTTATGTCTACAAAATAATGAAGTTTGGAGTTTGGTTGAAGCAATTCTGAAGGATTGAAGTTATTGTGGAGTTTGATGAG